TCATTTACTTGACACTCAGCTGGCAAAGCCAGGAGCCCGGGCTTCTCTGTCTGCCAAAAAAAAAACACAAAAACCAGTTGCCATGGAGTCGACTCTGATTCCTGGCAACCCATGTGTGTCAGATTAGAGCTATGCTCCATAGGGTTTTCAGTGGCTGATTTTCCAGGCCTTTCTTCCGAGGTGTCTCTGGGTGGACTCAGACCTCCAGCCTTTTAGTTAGCTGCACCACCCAGGGACTCTCTGGCTACAAAACCTGCATGGCTGACCACTGCTCCTATCGCCTGGTGGCTCAGGCCCCCCTCAGGCTCTGAGGGGACACAGGCCCCCCTTCTGGATGCTGACGCACTGAAAGGCACCCCACGTTCTGGCTTCCACCGGCCCCCTCCCCGCCTTGGCCCCCGTTTCTGTTTCTCTCCCGATCACTGATGACCTTGTATCTGCACATCCACTGGCCCTTCCCAGTCTCCATCTCCCTGACCACTCCGGACACTCACCTCTGCTGACCTCTCCTCCCGATACTCCTGTCACCCAGCTTCCTGACGTGGGTCCCTCCGGGTTCTCCCCTGTCTCCTCCACTTCTTCCTCCTGCTCAGTGTGCACAAGCCCAGCATCTGGCTCTCCGCCTCTGCTCTTCCCACTCTTGCCCCAGTTTCCGGCTCCCCGGATCTCACAGAAATGCCGCCCAGTCCCCATCACCAGCTGGACCCAGTCTCGTATCTCTGAATATCTCTGACCCTCTCCATTCGCACATCCCACCACCATTCAACCTCAGCACAGCAAATTCCAGACTCGGCGCCCTTCTTCAAAAACCCGTCTCCCCTGGCTTCCCTGTTTCTCTGTAAAAGGGGCCCCACCTCTAGGCACTCAGTCTCCAAACCATCGTCAACTCTTCTGCCTCCCCCACCACCAGACCACTACCACGTCCTGGTGATTCTGTTCCTGTCTATCCCTCCCCTCCTCCATTGCCGCCATGCCCACCTAGGGCCAACTTCTAGCCCACAGCCCGTCTGGTAAATTCTCAGGCATCTGACTTCTACCTAACCTCGCCCCATTAAGTCTGCCTTTACACCCTAGCAGGGATGGGAAACGGGTTTCTTCTCACATGCCAGCTCTGATCCATTGGTGTCACTGTGTTAAGAAGGATTCTGAGGATACATCTTGGCTGAGCCGGAAAAAGCACTGTAACTAACTAGCCATTTTTCCTGGAGGCAAGGGGAGGTGGGCTGGCTGAGGGGACAGCATGTGTTGTCTCTGCTCTGTGGACATCCTCCCTCAATCCGACTCTGAGGGTCACACCTTCACTCACCAGTGCTCCCGTTCTGGAATGTTCTTCCTCCTTCTCCCTTTTCTGATTCCCACTCCAGCCCCCCATCACCCATGAGGTCATCCCACCCAGTCCCCAGAGAGCACTGGATGCTTTGCCTGATCTCCTGTGACTCTCAGCACGCTTGTCCCCTCTCCCTCAGCCTGGAGCCCCCCAAGGGTCTGTGACTTTCACTCCTTGGTAGCCTGAGTCAGTCCCTGGGTCCAGCATGGAGGAGACCACACCCCTCAGCACAGGCAGGCAAAGCCCTAGGCATGGGGGGCCTGTCATTAATTAAGCACCTACTACGTGCCACAGACTCTTCGCTCGCCCCAGATCACCCCTACCTGTGCCCACCCTCCCAGACCCATCACACGCATATTTAATCCATTAATCTTGTAAATCTCCACCTGACCTTGCTCCAGACTGCACACTCCTTAAGGACAGACCCTTGCCCGCTGCGGAGTAAAACCCTCGATGCAGAAACCCAGCCTGGCACAAAACAGGGTCTACACACCTGGAAAGAAGTGCTGGGCCAGGTGACAGAGTGATTTTTATCCCA